AGAGCAGCTCGGTTTGCAGAATCAAGTCGTGCCTGCAGCTCGGGTCTTGAACGGTTTCAATATGGCAAGTGAAATGACTAAAGGGCAGATTACTCTACCAATGAATATAGCTAGAACCATCCAAAATACCAAATTCCACGTAATTGAAGGGGGTATGAGGTACAATGCCCTACTCAGAAGGCCTTGGATCAACAATATGAAGGCAGTGCCTTTGACCCTCCACCAAGTAATGAAATTCCCTACGTCGGACGGCGTGAAAATAGTATACGGGGAGCAACATGCTGCAAAGGAAATGTATACGATCAATAAGGTAACACCGATACCAACGCTATCGGCCTCGTAAAGATCGAGCACTAAAGATAGACGAGAAACCAAATAGCAATCACAGCCACTAGTATCGACCGAACCGGTGGAACAGGAAATAGAGGATGACGAGGAAGAGTTTCTGACACCTCTTGCTTTCATCACCCCCGACGACTCCGACGCCACTAAATCTACGATTGAAGAACTGGAGCAGGTTATATTAATCGAATATCTGTCCGAGAGAAAGGTATACCTGGGAATGGGATTGACCCCTGAACTCAGGGAAAAACATATTCAATTTCTTATCGATAACATAGACTGTTTTGCTTGGTCCCATTTAGACATGGCATGGATCCCACCATCGATAACAATGCACCAGCTGAGCTTGGACCCTAGGTTCAAACCAGTGAAGAAAAAAAGAAGACATAAGTCCGAGGTAAAACATGCATTTGTAAAGGATGAGGTAACTAAACTTCTCAAAATAGGGTCAATTCGGGAAGTAAAATATCCCGAGTGATTAGCCAACGTAGTTGTAGTCCCTAAAAAGGGGAACAAACTTAGAATGTGCGTAGATTATAAAGATCTAAACAAAGCATACCCCAAAGATTCTTTTCCACTGCCTAGCATCGATTGCATGATTGTTGCCACAGCCGGCCATGAGATCCTTACTTTTCTCGACACCTAATCCGGGTACAATCAAATTCGAATGAACCTGGAGGACCAGGAAAAGACTTCATTTATCACCAAGTACGGAACCTATTGCTATAATGTAATGCCATTCGGGCTAAAAAAACCTAAGAGCTACTTACCAATGCCTAGTGAATAAAATGTTCGAAGAACAAATAGGTAAATCGATGGAAG